GCTACTGTTGCCATGCACATAAATGACTGTGTCATCTGCATACATTTGCAGGTAGGTGTTGGGACACACTGATGGCAAATCATTTATATATAGGCTGAACAGTATTGGGCCCAGGATGGAACCTTGTGGGACTCCAGTTGATAAATCAAGGGTAGTTGATTGATGATTTTGAATTCTGACCTGCTGTTGTCTTATTCCTAAATACGATTATATCCTAAATCAATCAACGATCAACTGTATTTCTTGGCTCTTATTGGTTGTTTTTGTTCAGCCCTTGTGGATTCTTGCAAATGCCATTAGGGGCGTTAGGAGGAACGAGAGAAACCTGCTAGTTTTACAGATTATTCTGTCTCATGTTCTATGGTCAGGATATAGAGAAAGTTTTAGCAAATATGACAAAGTTATTTTTATAAAAATTGCAGCTTTAAAAGAACATCTTGCAGTGGTGTAATGCACGGATTCCCAAACTTCACATCAGGGACCCCCACTATAAATGCACGGACCCCCACTTTGAGAGAACTTTGTCTTAAAAAATCACCTGAGTAATTTTTCTATTTTTAAGTTTGAAGTTTCTGAAGTCTTCATAGCCAGTCAATGAACTGGGATCATATCAATTAAAAAAAAACAACAACCCTGTTTCTTCCCTTGTTCCTACTAAAAAAATGTTCAAATAGTTCTTCTTTTGTTGGGAACCCCCTTTAACCCACTCAAGGACCTCTGCTGGATCCAGGACCCCAGTTAAAAAACCACTAGCGTATATTGTACATTCAGTCCTGGTCAAAAGTTTTGAGATTGAGAAGTATTGGTTTCCACAAAGTTGGCTGCTTCAGTGTTTTAAGATATTTTTGTCAGGTGTTATTATGGTATACTGAAGTATAATTGCAAGCATTTTATAAGTGTAAAAGGCTTTTATTGACAATTACATTACGCTTTTGAAAAGAGTTAATGTTTGCAGCGTTGACCCCTCTTTTTCAAGACCTTTGCAATTAGCCCTGGCATGCTGTCAATTAACTTCTGGGCCACATTCTGACGGATAGCAGCCTATTCTTGCATAATAAATGCGGAGAAAAGAGGGACAATTAATTGCAATTCATCTGATTACATTCTAGAGTATATGCTTTGTGAAAATTCATATTTGTGCCATTCTCAAAACTTTTGATCACGACTGTAGACCGTATAATTAAAAATGCATTTAAAATCACCCATAGGTTTCTGAAGCAGTAAACATTTCTGCTGTAAAGTTGGGCATTTTAAAACGGGGCCGTATGAATATGGACTCACTTCTGGAGCCAGCTTCAAGGGGCCATTAGAGTAAGTGCAGTTTTTGCTACTTGTTTGCTTTATTTGTAGCTGGTTGCCACTTGATCTTGAATCTTGAATTGCATTGTCTCATCACATCATTAAATAGGGACTTGAAAGTTAGTTTTTCGAGTAACATATTACCCAGAAAACATCACTGCATATCTGTTTATTGCAAAAATACCAACAAAAAAAGGGAAATTAAGCAATTAATTGAATGTGTGGCGTGGCGTGATTTTTTGTTGATTACATTTTCTTTGAATTGATTAAATCATGACTGCAGTTAACCAGTTAAAATATATATTATTATTTCATGTAATCATAATAATTTCATGCTATTCTAATAAAAAGCTCTGTGCATGGTTAAACAGAAAGAGGCTGGAGAGTTTTGGAGGTGGGATTACTGAATAGGTGGAGAAACTCCAGACAATGTCTGAAAGAAAAACTGACAGTCTGTCTGACTGCAGTTTGGCTCCATCTAGTGTTGTACACTGACATTCGGTCCTACAGGAGGCCTCAGGGTTGCTTCAAATTAGCTGATGGCACACAGGCTTGTCTGATTAGCAGCTACTTAAACTCAGGTGTGTCTGCTGCTCAGTTTTATCACTGTGTGTGTTGCTCTGAGTTTTCCATATCCAAGTTCTCAACAAGGTAAACTAACTGATTATTTCTTGTTTGCTCATATGTAACTCAGATGTGTTTTTTTTCATGACTGCGTGAACAGCACAAATCACATGGACTCTGATCTTTTTAATTCTGATTTGGGCCACTTTCAAATTATTAAGTCCATCTGTAGTTTTCTTGCCGCAACTTGTCTGCTGTGAAAACCATGTAGAGGCTGTAATGAGAGGTAGTTTTGGCTCAGTCCTTCACACTGACCTATTACCAGAGATACTGAGTAGAGCAGAAGTGTGAATTAATCCACCACTGAAAATGGCCAATACGCCAAAGTAACTTACCATTTTCTCCTGTTTGAGTAAAGTTAGGTACATTAATTAATTTTTTATAAAGACCAGTTGTTTGTGGTGCCACAGTCCTTGGTGGTCTTTTATTTATTAGGTTAGTTCCGTTGATGGGTTTCTGCTAGGTGAGTAAGGCTCTTGACCTCAGTATTTCTGAAAATCTCAAGTGCAAATTTATTTTAATTATTTCATGCACTGTTAATTCTTCACTTTTAAAACTAATACTGACCTCAAAATTAATTTGTAAAATGCAATTTCCCACATTTGTTGGACCATAGAGGGTGCAAGATTTTTTAAAACACTTTTATCCTGAAGTCACAATGTATATGGTGTCTAATGTGTTTCCTTTAGTATGTTTAATATGGCATAGTGATGTCAATGTGCAGTAGGTTTTGTGATTTCAATATTATTACTTACTGTGGTAAAGTGTGAACACAACAGGAAGCTGGATGTTTAAAGTCACACTTTAATAACAGAAACATTTCCTGCAACACTAAAGTTCTAAAGATTTATCAGCACAGTTTGAATGCACTAACAGTCCTTCTTCCTCAACCTCTGCATAGGTTGAATATGGCAGCAACAGCAGCCGTAAACAAACCTCCACCAGGTCATCCAGGACCAGACGTTGGGAACCTACACTCCTGCCCCAATAGCTATGTACCAAATTCTGGACAGCAGGATCCGGGAATGCATGGCATCAGCCAGGACCCAGGACATTCATCCTATCCCCAACACAATGTCTCTGCCCGGCCCTTCTTCTATGTACCTGCTCCGCCTCCACCCCCTTTCCTCCAGTACCAGTGGCCTATGCCCTTCTCCTACAATCCCCTTGCTGGCTTCTCAGGCATGGGTGAGTCTTGTGGGTTTTTCGTTTCAGTTTGCTCTTAAAGTAAGATACAAGGGGTGGCCACAATAACAAGAACCTGTAGAAACCTTTTGTCATCCAATATAATATTCTTGAAATGTATAACATGTGAAAATTGGTCTATAAACTGGCATTAATCCCTATTTGACTTCATTAAATTATAATATTTTTAAACTTTAACATAATCTTAGTTAATCTCATTTTTTTTTTCTTCCTACTTCTTAGGCTATGGTATGGTCATGCCCCCATTCCCACCTCCCCCATACATGGAGGCTCCAGCCTATATTTTGCCCCACCCACACATCCAACCAGTGGATTACAGACGCTTGCTCCACCCCCAGGTCCATGCTCCCAATGCACTCTACCAGAATCCAAACCAGACCCGCAGAATTCGTCCGCCTCATACAGTCCCTGTTAAAGAAACTGTGAACTCTGCAGTTCAAACGGAACCAACACAGAGAGGCACGGGTAGTTACGGTGATGGGAGCCCACCCAGCAGATCAGATTATGGACATGGAACCTCTTCAAACTCTCAATCATCCTCAAAGTCTAGCTCCCAAAAACAAGGTTCTACTGAGGTTGAGAACTATACCTTACCCAGCAGTAATGCAAAAGACTTGCAGGTTCCCAGCACCTGCAAAAAAGGCACAGTCGAACACAGCTTTAATACCCCACATCCTACAGGGACAAAGACTGTCCAATCACATATCAGAGCAACTGTAGAAACGCACAAGTGCCGTAAAGACAGTGTTGATCAGGAGAATGTTGTCCCTTTCAGAAATGGTCACTGTAATATGTGGTCAGTGAGTTCTCCAGAAAATATGGTTCCTGTGTGTAGCTCTTCTCAACAGGAGGATGAGGTTGTCAAAGAGAGACGTGTCTCTGTTCCTGACATTCTGATGAGTTGGGGAGGTGGCACACCAGAGGAAATTATCCTGAAAATGACAGACAAGGTGCTGCCTCACAATGAACACCAGCTACCATCTTACGAAACTGAAGTAGAGCATGGAAAGTCAGTTTACCAGAGTCCAACTGAGCCCAGGAATGGTCCAGTAGTGGCTGATGGTATTGAGGCTAATGATGGTGCTGAAAATATCTTAAGTTCAGTGAAAGACCGCGAAACCCGCTGCCAGATCCTCAAACTGCCTTTTGTTCTTCGTGAACTTTTCTCAGAGTCTAGAAGAGAAAATGGACCTGTAAGACGAGGCCTACCCCACATTGATGAACCGCTGCATTCCCTAAACAAATCCCATACACTCCCTGATGATGAGCAAGAAAATTGCAATGAGACATATGAAGACACTACAGAGATCATTCCCTGTTCAATGTTTCTAAGTAGCTGTTCGATAAGGGGAAAAATGAATGAGTCTGTGTGGTCTGTGGAGTCTCTAGCCCCCTTTATCCCCA